GGCGTATGCATTCGACGCGGATACCGAAACAACTATTATATGGTTGACGGCATCCGCTTCCGGATTTGTCTGTCACTGTGGCCAGCCACAGGACGGCTGCGCCTACAGAGGGACCATGGGTGGCTTGCGCTGCACCACCCACAGCTCCAACCACACACACACCATATCCAGTGTAAACCCGAAGAAATAAGACCGGGAGGCATGTGGATGGGAGCCACGTTTCAGCAACGAAGCCGGCGTACACTACTTCACAGGCTCAATTGTTCAATGGTGTATGATGGGATAAAATCACAACTTTACAAAATCCACAGGATGGATATGCAAAAGAAAATTAAAATCAAAATGTTCCAACGTGGAACGTAAGGTATCAGTGGTTAAATCATTGCACTTTAGCAAAGTGTTGTGCATCGTTTATCACTAAGATGAAAATCTAAGAGTCTTTCGAAAGTCGTCATGTCTGGTGCGTTCACCACATAGTTTGGTAATGCATTCCAGTGAGAACAGATTCTAAGTGAGAAAAAATACTTTCTACAATTCAAGCGAGAGTGTTGCGTCATTAGTTTCAGGTGGTTGCCTTGTTGTACGTTGTATTTTGGAATCAAGTGAACACAAGACGGTGACTGGACCGTGGTTCGCTCCACACGGAATGCGTGGAACTAATCTTCGAGCCCAGCACGACTACAAGGACCGTGCACCCAATCCCCTCCAGCAACGACCAACTGTCTCCTGGAGCCAGTATGGACGGGATAATGGGTAATAGGCAGGTAGGCATCTTGTCAATATGTACATCGAGCGAAGCCACACTGGGGATATCAAGCAACAGCCAATCAGTTGAAACGACAAGATGAAATAAAATAAATCGAATAATGCACACAGATACGGTGGCATAACCCTTTGCTAAATTAGCGTGTGAAGTAAGTTGGTCGGCAATGAATCCTCGACGATTGTAAAGCTTAACGCAGTTTACCCAAAAAATGCTACAAAGGCATTAATTTTAACGAAGATGAACACAGTTAGTGTATACGACGTGGTCAATTAATAGAAGATTATTCAGGTAGGCAGAACAAACCAAATAAAGGGGAATGAAATGTGTCCAGGTTAAACAGACCTAGTTTATGTGTAAGCTGGTTTAGCCCAACTGCGGTGAAGAAGCATCACGGATGAAACCTTGGTCTCAGCATTGGGGACATATATATATATATATATATATATATATATATATATATATATATATATAATTAGCATCGGTTTATAAATTTGACTCTGAGCCATTCAAAAGCATGGAACTTTGGTTAGGAACAGTAATATGTACAGCGATACTGCTCCCAAGGTACGGAATTATCCACCTGCTTTCGATGGCATGCTGAGGGAGAGGATTCTGCCAATCACATACCAACACTGCACTTCGAGGGTGCAAAGCACATATCATACTTAGACGCTTCAGCAACCAGTCGATCGAGGATTAGTTATACACAATCAGGGTAGTCACCAAACAAGGCGATATCATCAGCGTAATCTAAGTCGTTTGCAGGATCTTCTGGAAGGAGGTCAATTCCGGAATTCTGAAAGACCTCTAAAGCACCCATTAGGACATCTTTGATCGTGAACTTGAAAAGAAATGGAGACATAAGGCATCCTTGTTGCACATTACCGTTGACAGGGAAGACTGCGGAGAGCTTGCCGTAGGCTCTTACTTTATCTAAAGTATAGAGGCATAGGGTCAGAGTAATGGCGACTTGCTTTACTGGGACTCCGTTCTTTACTAGGCAATGCCATAAGGTCTATCTAGTCAAATGCAGACCGAATATCCAGACAGACAACGATGGTGGGTCTATGGTACTGGTGGCAAGGAACTGACGAAGTGTACATTTATGATTCACGTAACCTCTATCGGGGCGGAAACAATTCTGCTCCTCCCGATAGCGCGCCTCGCTAGTTTGCGATAACCTGCGCAACATGATGGATACTAGCAGCTTGGAGGCAACTGATACCAGGCTGATCCCTCAGTGATTGGCACATGAAGTCCGGGAGCCTTTATTGAAGACTGGGATAATAACTGGCTCTCCAGATCTTCAGAGACAGGGAGGTTAACTGAGGGACAAGATCCTTACCGCCACATTTGCACAGTTCCAGAGGAAGCTCTTCGGAACCAGAAAGCTTAAAGCATTTCAAGTGTCTAACCTCAGGGCGAACTTCCGCCTCAGCGGGTGATTCGAGTGACACGGCCCATGGCGTACTACGGAATGAGCTGAGTGCGGAAGTGGACAAAGGGAGAGAACCGAACTGAGATTAGAACTGCCTAGCCCATCTGTCTGTGCGCCTCTGCAAGTTGGTGATTTGTGACTCATCTGTCTCATCTTTGGCAAGGCGCATCTCCTGCTCTGTGATCTTGTTCTATTGCGTCATTTAAGATGGTTTTGCCAGGTCCTGTGCATGTCTGGCGAGCAATTACAACGCCATGCCCTATTTCTGCATGCACGGTTGCGTTGGAAGAGGCCGCGTGGTGGCCAGCTGACAACCTGCATCAAATAGCTGAAATCCTATTAATTGCTGGTCCAGCACGCCTTCCCAGTTGCGGATCGAAAGATGAAGAATGCCTACGGAAACTTGTGCATTCTACAAGATGAAGACAGAAAGCGCCCTTCTATGAGCCATCAACCGTATATCTTCGTTTGCTGAGGAGAGTTTGGTAGCTTAATCAATAATTTTATGGGTGGTTTGTTGAAGAATTATGAGCAGAGGGGCTTTCAAACTCTTCACGGTTAAACAGACAACTCTCCACTGTTCCATTAGTGCCACATGCGACTTCCTTAAAGGTCACAGAATAGTGCACATGTCACGATAGTACCACGGCAAGCACACCGTAAGAGTCATGGACAAATTATGTAGCCATCAACATGAGCCTTTTAGATTCGGATATTCTGACATGGCCTGTTTGTTCTGCGTCTGGCTACTTATAATAGACTTGGGAGAAGGATGTATGAAACTGGGATTGAGTCAAAGTTTTGCACGAGTGCGCCAGGCATCTGGGGTAAACCGATGATCGCATTCACACCTCGTTCAGTTCAGTGGAACTGCCACGATCACACAAAATTTGTAACGACGCATACGTACGAGGGGTGCTGATAAGTTAATGGTTTAGCTCCCTTCCAGACGAAACAGGAAAAATAGTGTAGGGGAATAAGAGGTCTTAACATCATAGTATATAACTGTGCAGATACCAGGTGCTTGGGATTCTAACACATTAGTTTTTCACTTGGAAGCTGTGGTGGTATGGGCACAACCAAGTCTTTTATCGTTTGAGTTACGCGCCTTCACGAACTTCTGTTTCTCCAGAACATATCCATGAAGGAAATTCAGGATGAAAGGTTATAGACACAGGGAGAGAAGTGGTCTTCGTACGACACTGCCAAAACCTGGATATCTCGTTTCAAGACTGGTCATTTCAGCATTCAGGATGAGCTCCGTACTAGGCATCTCAAAACCTCAACTGATTAAGCAATCTGCGAGGCTGTCCATGAACTGCTTACGGAAGACCAGCGAAGATCCACCAAAAAGAATGCCCAGATACTGGACATCTCACACGAGAGTATTGAGTTGGTTATCTCTAGTATTCTGGACATGCGTAAGCTTTCAACAAAGTGAGTGCCGAAATGTTTGACCAGAAATTAAAAACAGAGAACATTTTTGTCCATTGTGAATCTGTACACAATTTTTTAATAGATAAGTGGCCGAGGATGAAATCCAGCTTTATGTGTATGATACTGAAATCAAGGAACAGTCAGAGTAATGTCGCCACAGTGGGTCTCTGCAGCCGAAGATCTTCCGCATCCAAAAATCAGCCAACAATTCATGGCCTCCCTTATTCTGGGACACAGACGGTGTTCTGTTGATGGGCTACCTATCTCATGGCTCAAGTATCACCGGAGAGTAGTATGCCTGTACCAGCTAAGTGAGGCGAATAGGAGGAAACGCCGTGTATAGCTGACCAAAGACATCCTTCTCTTGCACGGCAATGCACCTGCGAATACGTCCAAACTTGTAGCTGCCAAACTGAACACTAAGTTTTAAGCGGCCCGTAACCTAGAAGTAACGAGCTTGTCTGGTAATCTTGCAGCGCCTGTTCGAACCTGCGTAGAGGTGGGCGTCCTCGCGATATACTCAGCCCGCGTGCGACATGTTTGTGCACGGCAGCGAAGCGCCGTTACGGCGTACAGTTGACACATTATTATTATTATTATTATTATTATTATTATTATTATTATTATTATTATTATTATTATTTAATCCGTCCACCGTCATTATACTCACCTGATCTGGTCCGGACACTATTGTCTCTTCCCGAACTTAAAGAGACATCTGAATGGGTGACGTATTGAAGACATCTCTGACATCAAATATGCAACTGATAGCTGGTTTGAGGCACAACCAAATGACTTTAATCTGACGGGTTTAGAAAAGCTGCAAATACGCTGTAACAAGTGCAGTAATCCTAGGGGTAAATGTGTTAAATAAATATATCATTTCATGACTAGCTCTCTTCTCTCTGGTCAAAGCCAGGACCTTATCGGCACCCCTCGTAAAATTCATCGGTCTTCATGCCTTATTGATTTCCCGGGGTTGCAATCGTCTGGGATTCGAAGTCACAAGAATCCACGCATGCAGTGAGACTACCTCACACCCCTGTGCAGAGACGAAGGAATATAGCTGAAGCAAGTGGATGAAAGCCACGGTAAAACATTGAGCCAGATCGCTTGAATTCGCCTAACCGTCTCCAGCACACACCCGTGGAACCGAAAAGTAATGTTAAACCTTATCAACATTTGTCTAACTTCTACACTCAACATGCATGGCTACAAACAGTTTCTTCGTTGAATATGAAACTTTTGGTTTAATGGTGGCTGCCTACCTTTCGATATCTTGGATAGTTTTTACTCTCTCTGTGCCTAGTTACATCGGCTTCTACCTATTTTTGATGTGTGCTTTATCTAATTACTTACTATGATGCATAGTTCCGGCCAATTCTGTACGAAATACCGAAGTGTGACGTCTGGATAGGGTGAACAAAGATTCCGCTTCAAGTAACGTCGTATAATGTCCAGGTCGGCCTCGCTTTGGTACGTCCTGCAGTATTGTTGCCGATCATAGCTGTGGCACAGCAATGCACCCGCTTGCGTTTCGGTAAAACGAGTGTGTCTTTCAATCTCTGCTTGCTGTTGTGAACTTGGTGGTTCTCTATGGTCTTTAGGGACGGTGTATGCCATTCTCGATGGTTGACCTAGCACAGACACACTGCAAGGACGAAACTATTCCGAGCAGATCGATCGCTTTTTTAATCTAGCCGGTCACGTGCCTTACTGTTATACAGTGTGTTTCATACCGTAAAAGATACTTAAATGCAACAAGTTAGCCAGGCAATGTTTCAGGCGGAAATCGTTCACAATAATTGAACTATGCACTCGCTAAGAAACATCTGACAGGTGGCGGAATGGTTGCTCCTAGTTCACGCGTCACCAGTTCGAACTTTCATATGGACAGACCTCGCACTAACCCAACCCTCGTGCAACTGGCGGGGTTAACGTCGCAGCGAAGCATCGCTATCAGATCCAGGCTCATGACGTCTACTTCTCTCACGCTTAGGAGTCTTGTGTGATGGTAGTATCAAATCAGAGTGAGCAAACGGACCAACCGAACGAGCCAGACGGCCAGTGGGAGTCGGACGTGTGGGATGCGATTACTGGACTCCGAATTGGTCGATATTCGTGTGCGTGACTCACCGTTTGTTTAACTGAAGCAGAGGAGGAACCTCATCAATTCAGAAGAGTCGTTAGTTATGGACTTGAACCTACCATTTATATCGAGGAGTGTGGCTTGCTAAGCATGCTGTAATTTCCGCTGCGCTGTCTTTACCGTATAAACGCTTGTCCCTGAAGAACCGAGTTCTGCAACATGGTGTCAGAAAAGACAAAGACGAAGCGCATCGGTGGCGCACGGATGCTGTATGGATCACCAGCGTCTATTCAGTTATCTGCCACACTGAACATGGATGAACGGAACTTGGCGAGTAATTGGCGTTTATGGAAGAGCAAGTGGGTGGATTACCACACCTCCGTACCTTTGAACGAACAATCGATGGCGCATCGCTTGGCCCTGTTTCGACACGCAACCGCGAATGACGCGCGGCGTGTGTTCAAGACATTGCACTATGACAAAGGCAAGGATCGCAATCATTTGGAGACGGTCATTGGAAAGTTCAGTGAATGTTGTGAAGGTCAAACCAAGGAGACCTACCAGCGCTATCTTTTCTTTTCGCGCAACAGAGGCCTAAACGAATCAGTCGACGTGTACATCACTGAATTGAAGATTTTGGCCCGATCCTGTAATTTCTGTAAATGCTTAGGCGACAGTCTCATACGCAATCGGATTGTTCTAGGAATCAAGGATGAAATTACGACTAAGCGGCTTTTGCGACAACGCAACTTATCGCTCCAGCAGTGCATTGCTATTTGCAACATTGAGACCTCAACAACTTATCACTAGCAAGAAATGAAGCTCGCCGCAAATGCATACTTGTTTGCCGTTTCCGGAGGCGAAGCAGCGAAGGATACTAACGTGAGACAGGAGATCTGCAAGTTTTGCGCCACGCGACATCCGAGCGCTCGCGAACAGTGTCCGGCGTGGGGTCGGAAATGTGCCAGATGTGGAAAAAGGAACCACTCGGCTCGTTGCTACCAATCAACCAATGTGAGTGCGGTCGTTTGCGACAAGTCCGCCGCAGATGCAGAACATTCTATTGACAACGTGGCTCGAAGGGTACCGCAACGCAAGTCTTTTGATCTAAGGCAAAGCCGTACGATTCCAGTTAGACACAGGTGTTACTGTCAAGGTTCTACCAAGCAAGTACTGTCCCAGAGTGTGCATTCGATTCGATCAGCATTGCCTGCGTATGTGGAATGATTCCAGACTCCATCCGAAGGGCTTAGTTAAAATCGAAATGGTTAACCCAAGAGAAGAGCTTCACATTGACTGGAGTTTGTAATCGCCGCTTCTCGGCATTGATCCGATCCGGCCTCTCGGTTTTGTTTTTAATCATGATCGTTTTGTGCATGTGCTTGGGAGAAACCGATATTAGTGACCAGTATCCGTCTGTGTTTAGCCCAGGTTTGGGAATGTTTTCAGGAACCGCTCACTTGTCCTTAGATCCTTTGGTACGACCGACAGCGCTATTGGCTAAGGGAGTTCCATTTGCACTCCATGACATGTTCTCCGTTGAATTGAGCAAATTAGTGAGAGGGTGTGATTGCCAAATTCGACGAGTCAACCGATCGGGTTAGTCAGGTCGCAATCGTTACGAAGAAGGCGGGCGAACTGCGTGTGTGTATTGACACAAAACCGTTGAATGAGGCCTTGCGTAGAGAAGCATACGCGCTGCCTACCATAAAAGACAGTAAGCTGCGTTTGGCCAATGCTAAGTGCTTCATGAAAGTAAACCTCTCTTCAGCATTCTGGCACCTGGGTCTAGATGATGAAGTCAATTTCCTTACTATATTTTTAATACCGTTCGATCGTTATCGTTGGCTACGTTTACCGTTTGACTTGAAGGTGTCGAGTGAAAATTTTCAAAGGCGATTGGTGTAAGCTGCAGGCGATTTAGATGGTGTAACATACGTGGTAGACGATGTTTTGATCTATTTCTCGACAGAAGAAGAGCATGATGCTACTCTCCACCGTTTCTTACAGCGTTGTGTGCAGAAGAACATCAAGCTTAAACGTGAAAACATTGAACTTCGGAAAGACGAGGTGATTTTCCATAGGCATTTGCTAACAACACAAGGTGTCAAGGTTGATCCAGGAGAAACCAATGCAACTCGAGTGATGTTGCCTCCTAATGACGTGAAGGGAATCCATCGCTTATGGTATGGTGAATTATTTGAGCCGTTTTATGCCAAGACTTGCTGATATCATGACATCGATCAGGAAGTTAGTTCACAAAGAAGTAAAGTGGAGCTGGGGAAAAGAACTGAAAACTGCATTCGAAACTAGTAAGCTCCTCATCAGCAACGCACCTGTACTCGGGTATTACGATCCAGCGCAATTTTTGGAGGTACAGTGTGACAGTAATCAAGACAGTATACGTGCTGTTCTATTACAGAACGGAAAACCTTTGTATTTTCGCAATCGAGCACCCACCGGGACCGATCAACACTATGCGCAGATTGAGAAGGAAATGTTTGCGGCAGTCTATGCCATGGAGCGTTTCAACGCTCATACTTTCGGAAGGAAGACAACGTTGTACACCGACCACAAACCGTCTGTGTCAATAGCCAGGAAACCGCTGCACGTTGTTCCTCGTCGTCTTCAGCGTATGCTCACCCGGCTTCAAAAGTACGACGTGCATATTGTGTACACGCCTGATGCACAGATGTCCATCGCGAATACGCTTTCAAGAGCTCATCTGCCGGTACCTGAACACAATCCGGCAAAGCTCGAAGCAGTAAACTTAGTGCAACAACTGGTAGTGACAGAAGATCGCCTAAAAAAGTAAGGCGCCACATAGAGGAAGGTGCAACGTTTCCAGCATTGAAAGACGTTATTCTAAATAGATGGCCAGAGACAAAGTAGCAGCTGCCGAAAAACTAACACTCCACTACAATTTTCGGGATGAACTCTGTCTATGATGGCTTTCTGTTCAGGGGAAGACGTATTCTGATTCCGGTATTGCTCCGAGGAGAAATGCTGAAATACGTTCATGACGCTCACTTTGGTGTCAATTATACTATTAACCGAGCAAGAGAATTGATCTTTTGGACAGGACTGACGGGTCAAATAAAAGATCATGTATCGTTTAGGAGAAATCCGGCAGACGAAGGAACCAATGGTGCTGCATGCTGTCCCTGACCGACCGTGGCCGAAGGTGGCGGTGGATTTAATCCGTAATGACGCGAAAGATTACGTACTCGCGGTGGATTACTATAGTGATTATTTTTACATCTGTCTATTCGCCACTACTACCACAGCGACAGTAATAAACAAGCACAGCTGTCAGTTCGCACGGCACGGTATACCGGAGGAGCTGGTCTCCGGCAATAGGCCCCAGTTTACCAGCCGTGCCTTTCAGGCGTTCGCAACCAAGTGGGAATTCGTGCACCAGCAAACCGGCCCATATCACGGTCAATCGAATGGAAAGCTGAAGTTAACCGTGAAGCAGGCCAAGCGAGTTATCGAAGGCTAGAGCAACTGGTGAGGACCCGTATTTCATGGTACTGCAGAATCGCAACACTCCTGCAACTAATATCGGTTTGAGCCAAATGCAGCGCCCATACAGCCGGAGGACTAGAATTCTATAACCGGCACCTGACACACTCTTTCGCCCAGTTTCACCACGGCATGAGAGATTACAGAACAATCAGACGACGAATGATCACTCCGAAAAGGCACTATGACCGCGGTGCACGGGTATTACCTGAGTTAACCATGGGGGAGAAGTGTGGATTCGACCATTAATCCATAGTCAACATCATCATTACACGTTAGCTGGAGGTGGAAAACACCTCAGCTATTGTGCCGCAATACAAAAGAAAAGAAAAGAAAAACAAACAGTGGCACGCCCGCTGAGTCCCCAGTAGCGGATGGACCTCGTTCCGGAGAGCTAACAGCTGGCTGCCGTAAAAGAGAGTCATATTATTAATCCATAGTCAAGGGCGATGGAAGAAAAGTGTGGTGACTGCGAGGGTCGGTGCCATCATCATCATCATCCCCATCATCATACACGTTAGCTAGAGGTAGGAAACACCTCAGCTACTGTGCTGCAATATATAGAAAAAAGGAGCAAAATAATGCAACTGGTACAAGCCCGCTGAGCTACCGGTAACAGATGGGCATCGTTCCGGTAAGCTACCAGCCGGCTACTGTGCATCAAAAAAAATTACTATGCAAAATTATACAAGGCTAAATAGTGAGATCGTGGTTGGAGAGGAGGCTAAGAGGGATGGTGTGGGACAAAGTAACTCACAGCACGAACGCCACTGAGGTCGGCTCCTAGCCATATCAACAAGTGTATCCAACCGAACGTGTTTATCGTCTTTCGGACCCCAACCAGGGAGCCGAGACGCTCCAACCGAGGCCAGCTCCGAAGTGAGGGCCTTCATTACTCTGGACCAAGTTTTAGCTTGGCCACCCCTCCTCTTCTTCCATCCATACCCCCGGTGCGAGAACAACGCACGTCGCGGGAGTCGGTGGGCTGGCATACGTAACACGTGGCCGAGCCATCGGAGCGTGGTGCGTGAAATAACGGTGCTGAGCAGTTCAATTGCTTTTCCTGTGCCGTAAACGAGGCGTCGAACATGCTCGTTGCTCACGCGGTGTT